GGGGGGGTATTGCCTTACTCGTTTCGCGCCGTTTGCCTTAACGACGTCGACTTTTCTCCACGGCGCTTTTCTCGCATCGCTCTTACTCAACCCGGGCTAGCGGTACTACCGGTCGGTCGGTCGGTCGATCGACACCGGACGGGTCGCGTGTGCTGCACAGGTTGGGGCACCTGCTCCCGTACCGGTGGTGAATGGAAGAACTTACTTTAGAAAGACGCATCCCAGACGCGTCCTCTCACTCCGGCCGACGGTCTCGCCGTCTCCCTCTGCCCGTATCCCGACACGACTGACACGAGGTTAAGCCTTACGTCTAACTGTAAGATAATCGGCCTGCCTCGTTCGGATCGTTCGGTCAACTCGCGTGCGTTTTACTCTCCTCTCTTTTTCCCGCCGCCCCCCCCCCGCTTCCCTCTCCCCCCCTCATCATCTTCCCGCTTCCCCGAAGCTCCGTACGCTCGTTCGTTCATCAATGGCCTCGCGAACCGTCGTTCTTCCGATAGAAGAAGAGAGTTTAGAAAATTATTGAGCAACGGTATCTTTTTTTTTTTACGATTACGAACGAGAAAATGTAGATTACAAGTGGAGTTAATGTCGTTTTTTTTTTTTTATACGAGGCACTTGTGCTCCGATTTTATCTCGATAGCGAGAGGAACGCAACGCTTCCCCACAATATGTATTCATGCGAGTGATTTTTCATTGATGAGAAGTTGGCTCGTGAAATATATTTCTTACGGGGAAAATATTAATTAGATGTATCAGGCGTTAAAATACGAGCGTGTTATTATGCAAAAGTGCAGTCTTATCGGGGGAGCATTTAAGGCGGGCTCTGCAACATATTTGCAAATTGATCGCTCTCATTAAACGTTTAATCGCGCCCTTAATCGGCTTATGCAAAGCGCCAAACGAATTGGTATGCGAAAGCGCACTTTTGACGCGGATGTGGTTTAAGGGAAATTGGAAACTGGTTTGCAAATTAATCCTCTTAATTGGCCACCCGATCGTTGTATCTGAGTATTTAAACTCCGGCTCATAACACTGTATCAACATGTGCATTCATATTTATCGTGTTACCTCTGTACGTCCCGTTTTCTTTTATTATTTTCATTTTCTCCCCTCTGCGTTAATTTCTTTTGTTTCGTCGTCGTTTAGAATCGTATCGCGCCCATCTCTAGCAACGCCTTTCAAATTTACTCCAATTATCATGTAATTGATAGAGCTCATTGTCCTTTCGGGAGTTCACTTATAAACTTCCCGCGAACCGTATGATCCGTATCTAGCTGATTTATAGCTTATATATACCTCTGAAAGTCGTATGATATGCTTTAGAAACGGCGTAATTCTTTATCGCTGCCGTAAAAATTCCCGGATTTATATAGAGAATTAAGCACATTCAGCTTTACGGGATCCAATTAGATCGCGCAGTATCTATCAATGGGATTTCAGGCGAACACGTTAGATAATTGGTTCCCCGCTTTCTGATCCCTTCCAGATGCAAGATGAATGGCGAATCGTGCGCACCATAGAGACGCCAGGTCGGCATAGAAATGGGCAACAACGGCAGCAGCTCCCATCAATATTGCGCGTCCAACGGGCCGTCGCAGGAGATTGCCGGACGCGGGTGGACGCAGTCCTTCCCCCGGGAGCTGGGCAGGCATCATCCGCAGCAGCCGACGGGACACAAGGTCCTGCCGGAGCCGCCCAATCAACGGCTACGCGCCACCAATAATGGAAGCATCATTCACAACGGGGGAACCATAAGCGGCCGCAGGCCGCCGGCCCTCACGCTTCCGCACGACCTTAATAAGGTAAGGATTCGCGGCGGCTTTTCGAGTCGCCGCCGCGCGCTGATGACGTGGCGGTGCTCCCCGTGTGGTGCCGCAGAATGCGAGCCGTCGCGCCGCGCCGATCCGTTTGCAGTTTACGGGCACTATTGGCGGGCGCGCAGAAATTTGTGCCGCGGGCACCACGGGATTCTCATGCCGATTGATCATTTTCGTTGTTAACGGTAATGATGGTAACGATAATGACGGGATTGGGACAACGGTTGTAATAATAGAGATTAGATCGATACGTTATCGATCAAATTTAATTCGTGCCGATTTTTGCTCAGTACATTGGAAATAGGGGCATTACGTCTATTTTTCTATTTGTCGTAATTTTCAGTCATTTTCAGTCAACCGCTTGAAATAAACCAAAGGCCGAATAAATTTCGCTCGAGGAACATCGTCGCGTTTTTGTACGTTCGTTTTTATTCCGAGAGGATAATATCTGTTCCATCGAAACGCCTCCACGAAAAGATATGCGGCGTAAACCGCTTCGATTCGGAGAAATCAGAAAATACGTATTACTTTCGAGGTATTAAATGCGCCCCCGCAGTGGACCCGATCGGACCAGAAAAAGCGTTCTGAAAAAAGTAGGGAACAGAAAAAAATTTCTCTACAATAAGAAAGATTTTATATAAGCGATATCATTAATTTGTACATTTAATTCGTATATCTATCCCAAAAATGATGAAGAGCAAATGAATATAATACAGCGATATAACAAATCTATATCTCCTTGCGCCACATATATATTTAGGTTTCGGTGCAAATCATTCAATCGAAATATTTTCTGCTCCGAATCCCCTCAACGTGAAAGTTCGCCTTCGCATAAGTAGCCGAAAAGATAATTTTTCATTCCGATTCGCCTCGGTTTAATTTCCCGATTTCGTGCAGTGCCTAGCCTCCTTCTGTCTCCGCTTCTAGACGCGCGTTTCCGTCGTCCGAGAATTCTCTTCTGCAGCGCGGGGGAGGGGGGTAATCCGCGCGCATCCATGCGAAATTCGTTATGCCGCGTCTTTTGGCCGGGCGCCCGTGTGTCGTAACCCGGTTAAGATTATTCTATAGAGCGACTTTTTACCGCGAATTCGCGAAATGTATCACGCGGCCTTCATCGAACGGGCTTTGTGCCGGCGACGGTCGCACAGAGACCGAGACGGTTTCTCATCCGCCCCCCTTCCCCTCCGGTTTGTCACGGTGCACCTATATCGTCCTCTATAGCGCTTATTACGCGCGTCAGAAGGAAGCCGCGCGTATAGCGGCTTTGTATATCAACAGTGTTCTAAGAATAAACGTAACACTTTACCGTTCTACCTTTATGTAATACTTTAAGAGATAAAAATATTCTCTTAACCCGTTATGCATATAATCGCCGGGGCTCCGCTAATGAGAACTTCCATTATGAGACGGCAGACGTAATAATATTTTGTTCGCTCCCAGCATGCTCGCGCGCGTTCACAAGGCGGTCGAGATCTAGATCGTTGTAAAAATATAGTTAAATGAAGGGGGAGGGGGGAAGGGGGGATTCAAGAGAGCCGGGGATTTTTTAAGAGCCTGCCCTCTCGCCTTGCAGCAGGGAATATTTCGTAGCCGCAGCACCTCGGCGTCGAACATCGGCGCGTCGCGCGGCCGCAAGATCGACCACCATTGCTGCTACTACGGGAACGGTGCTACGAGATGCTGCGTGGAGAACGAGATGCAGGAGCTCAAGAGATTCGGCAGCGAGCCCGATCTGCGGTACTCGCCGATGGCGCGGGAGGCGGCGCGCTGCAACGGGAAGCAGCAGCAGCAGCAGCAGCAGCAGCATCAGCACGCGATGGAGCAGCACCGGCATTGCGGAAGCGGGCATTATCCCGAGCGAGAGTGCAGGGAGCGAGAGAGCCGGTACAGGGGCAAGAAGAAATACAAGGCACCGGCGCCGCCGTCGAACGGCGTCGTTGACGGATCGTCCCCGGACTCTTACAGGTATACGGGAATATTACGGAATACTTTGATTATCCTCTTCGTGTCTCGAGTTTGTTTTATTTATGTAAGTCGGTATTTTATTTATACATCCAGAGATTCTATTTGAATTAATAATATCTCTGTAGACGTTCTTCTGTAAAATTGATAATTTTTCACCGAAAATATGATATCGATCTTTATAATTATCAACTACATAAATTATGTTGACATTAATCAAGAGTTTCTTTTCTATACGTTGATGTCAATCTAAAGCATTTATGTCTCGATGTAGGAATTTTATCCCTAGGTACAACGAATCCGGCCAGAATCGACCGGGTGGTTGCCGCGGGGAGGAAGAGGTCCAACCGCCGCCGAGGCGGTCGCGCCTCTTCAAGACGCGAGCGGAGACGAAGAGAGCGCAGGTCAATTGGCTCTCTTCCTCGTCGTCGTCGCAGACGCATGCTGCCGCGGAACGCTGCGAGAACGGCGGCAGCGAGCTGGAGAACGAGCGACGGGAACGATGGCGAGGCGAGGACAGTCGCGCCGCCAATAAGGAGAACAGGCTCGTCTGGCGCGATCAGAGCAACCATGTCCATCAGGATCGCTGGTGCCGGGACGAACACAGGCGTTCGCGGATCTTCGACGGCAAGAACACGTTGCAGAGGAGCATGAGCAGCCCGGAGTTCCAGGCGGAGCTGATGCAGGTCGCCAGGAAGGTGCGCAACAAGCTCAACTGCGGCGGCAGATCTTCCGTGGAGTCGGCGAACCTGGAGTGTCGTAGCAGCAACGCCGATCGATGCGCGAAAGAGTCCAAGATCGAGGAGGCGAAGAGGCCGGAGAAACGATCAGCGAGGAACGAGGAGAGTTGCCCTGAGGAACGCGCGATCGCGGACAGGATCGTCGAGGAGAGGCGACTGACCGATCGTTGCAATCGATCCGAAAATAAGCATAACTCGTATGACGAGCGCAAGGGAAATGCTCGCGATGCCGGAAGGAACAAGGACTACTTGGATGAGAGGCAAGCGGAGGCTGCATCGGGCGGGAAGAGAAGACTCGTGGAAAAATCGATGTTCGACGAACCCACGGCGATGCACCTCGCGAAGGAACCTCTTCGGAAGAGTACGAAAGATCGCCTGGACGCCGTGGGGCATCCCTCGGAAGAGAGGTACTCGGAGAAGCACCGAAGGGAGCTTCTCGAGGACTATCAGCGAGCGAAGAGCGTCGCCAAGAGCCGGAAGTACGAAAACCCAGCGGAGAACCCGGGGAGAACCAGATCGGAGAGCCCGGTGAGGCCTTACATCAGGGTCACAGATCCTCGCGGGCAGGGCTCCGGGAGGGAGAGCACGCCCGAGCGGACGAGCGAGGCCAAAGAGAGGGAGAAGGAGAGAGATCCCGATCGTAGATGGCGGAAGAGCGACGTTAGGAATACTGATGGCGCGCCGGACGAGAAGAGATGGTCCTGCGAACCTGTTCCCGCGACGGCGGAGAAGAAGGACGCGAAATCCAAAGAGAAGCTTGCGAGGAAACCAGAAGCCAAGGAAGTCGCCCGCGAGAAAAATTGGCACGTGTAAGTTGCTCCCGCATTCTCGGATCGATTTATTCTCTCGCGCTCTCGCGAGTCGCGGCGGATGCGTACGCGCGCATCGAGCGATTCCGGTAATCATTTTCTCTTATCGGTCGAACGTCTCGTGCGTGCGCACGGATGCGCGTACGTAGGCACGCAACTTAGTTTTCCGGTGACGACAAATATGCGATGACTAATTAGCGCATTCATTCGTAATCGTTGCGCAAGATGTGATATGATCCCGATCGTTTCTCTAGATTGCCGCTGCCGGAGAAATCCGCACCGAAGACCTTCTACTTCGGCATGGACGAAGCGTTATCGAATGAGTCGCGGAATTGCGTGGACCAGCACATGGAGCAAATCCAGTCCAGGTTGCAGGCCAGAGAGATCAATGGATCGATCGAATGCCATGACTACACGGATGACGTGAGTAACACGTTTGTCTTTTTACTTATGTAAAATGATCCATCAATAAATTACAAGATCGTCATTTCACGTAATTCTTTTATTTAAAAGTGGAGATATTTTTTAATTGATCATATAATCGCATTTTCAGGGGAAAAGCGGAACCGAGGACATCTCATTAAAATTGCGACCCACGTTACCCAAGAAACAGCTGGAGATTCCGCGATTTTCACCATCGGCAGCGTGGAGATTACTGTCAGCGTTGGAAGCACCTGGACCAACCATGAGCACGGCGAGCGAGGAAGTTCCGGTAAGCGCGCAAAGGATATACAATTAAAATATCTTAATAATTAATAGCAAATAGTTAGCGTGTGAATTGAAGAGACGTAAAATCTTCAGGACTTTTTCGATTAAACTTTTACATTGTTTGGTGATTTTTAGGTGATGTTCGAGGAGCGTATCGAACGTCTGTCGAGGCCGCCTCCGCCGCTGATCGCGCTTGGTCCGCGAAGCTCGCACGACAAGTCGGGTGATTCCGGCATATCCGGGGACGCCGGCGCGGCCAACGACGATTCGTTGGACGTCAGCACCAATACCAACAACAACCGGTTGAAGACGCCGGCGACGAGGCCGACGTGGACGCCGCAGCAGGACTTGGGCGAGGAGTCCAGCAGCGACGCTGGAGTAGATTCGCCGCCGCCGATGCCGACCCCGGTGAAATTCCCGCCCAGGGCGCACGTGTTCTCGCTGTCGTTGCCGCGCGACGACAATCGCATGTACTTGTACAACCCGGATTTGAAGAATAAGGAGGGCTCGACCTTCAACTCGCTGCAGAAGCTGAAGAGATCGGTGTCGGGCGCTCTCGGACTCGGGCCGCTAGATTTAGAGAGGAAACGTACTCGCGACGTTCTCGACGACAACTGGCTGCTGTCGACGAGCGCTCCGACGTCGCTGCAGCACACCCAGATCACGGACGCGACGCGATCCTCGCCGCCCGGCTGGAAGCCCGGCTTCGACGACGAGGACGACGACGACGAAGTCCTGGTGGAGGACCTGGAGGATCGCGGCGATTTTCCCGTGATCATGAAGCCACCCTCGTTCTCGTACTTGGCTTCCGGCGGTCACGTAATGTACCTGCCCGAGTCCAATGACTCTCAGTATCAGCCGCAGAGTTTGAGCTACAGGAGCAACATGGCGGCGGAAAGCGAGAAGAATTCTGGTAACAGCTCCGGGCCGAAGTACCGCAAGAACGGTGTGGACGAACTCAGGAAACCGAGCAAGGATGTAGAGAAGACGAACAAGCATCCCAAAGAGTCAGAGAGAGTCGTTCTGAAAGAGAAGTCTTTCGCGAGCGACGGGAAAGTGAATAATAGATTTTCCAAATCGTGCGAGAACATTTCCGAGATGAAGCAACGAAGTACTTCGCCCATCGGTGGCCAGCAGAATTTGCAGGACGATAAGGAGATTGCGCCGGAAGTCAAGGCACCGTTGAAGAGCAACTCGAAAAGCCGTAGATTCACATTCCAGAGTACCGTGCGGCAGATCGAGAGGCGCAGATTGGCGGAAAAACTGTCGCGGGAGGCGGAAGCCAAGGAAAGACAGAGAAAGGGCGAGTTGGAGGCGATGCGTAAGGTGGAGGAGGAGTTCCAACGAAAACGAGCGCGAGAAAAGGCAAATATTAGACAGCAGCTTCGCTTGTACAGTATGGATGAAAACTTGAGGTAAGCTCTTGAAATTATACTTGAAAGTAAATGTTTAAAACTCTTAGATACATTGAATTTCTTGTGGAAAAGTTTTGTGTTTAGTTCTAGATAAAATGTTTAAGACGTTATTATATCCAAATTTATAGTTAGAAATATAATAAAAAGATACTTCTGATGAAAATATAATTTTTAAAAAAATTTTGTTAAGATTGACGCTGTTTAATTATTTTTAATAGTTTTGATTTTTAGAATTATTGTTATTGACTGAATCTATCTCATCTTACAGTAGCTTACCCACCGTGTGGGACAGCTCGCAGTTATCTCGTGCGGACCCGGACGGCGCGCCATCGTCATCCGCGTCGTCACCCACGTCAGTCCCGCCGGCGAAACTGACGACTATACGAAAGAGCAGCGTCAGCAGCGATGAGTATTTGCGTAAGAGAGCGTCCAGCGTGGATTCCAGGCAGCAGCAACAGCAGCAGCAGCATCAACAGCAACCAAGGGAGTACAAAGATTACCGGCCAAAGTATTACGACTGGGCGCCCACCGACTCGTCGTCGCATCTGGAGTACAAGCAGACCACGGTGCACCCTAAAGTGGTATGCGACATTCCCAAGAGCTCGCCCGTCTTTGTAGATGCGCACGCGAAAACGGCGAATCTCAGCTCCACGCCCAGATCCGACAATTACAGGTAAGCGTGACAAGCGAAATCGATTTTAAATCGTACGAAATAACTTCTTAATAAATTTTAAATTAAAAATTGAACTTCTGTAACTCTAATTTAATTCGCGTACTTTTTAAATTTATAATATATAGTTATATATATTTCTTGAAATGTGTAAAAATTTTTCAACAATCTCATATATTTTTATATTTAAACTGATTGTGAGTTAACGAAGAAAATAATAAACGGGAAAACACATGTTATTAAAAAAAATCTCAGATAATTAGATAAAATGTTTTAGTCTCTATATTTATCGCGCAACGTTCGATAGAAAGAAAGTGAGAAGCAAACGCGGTATTTTCCATACGTAAGGCTACGCAAAAGGATTAAGAAGGGTAAAGGTCTCCTCCGCCATGCAATACATATATACAAAGTGTCTGTCATTCCGAGGAGTCTTTGAATTCACTTTCACTCACGTGCTCGCGGCTACGTTAGGCTTCGCGTACAACAGCCTCGCGATTGCGAGACGGAACTGCTAATGGCGAATAATCTTCTAACGCGTTGCCCAACAGGAAAGATTTTGCCCATGGGGCCGTGGCGGCGAGATCCTCCTTAGCGAGCAGCGACAGTGAGCTATCGCAACCGAATACGAGACCGCATTCCAGGCAAGCCGTCGGCAAGAGCAAACCCATACGGTCTAGGTACGTTTCGATACAGTCTGGCCCCCCCTTGTCTTCCGCTTGAGATAACGATTTCCCCGCCCCTGAGAATGTTTCCCGAAATAATAGCGATGTCGACGGAGCAGAAGGATTTCGTAGAATCGAAAGACTATGATTTCTAATACGTCCCGTGTACTGAAGTGAACACGAACAATGTATAATTTTTTTTTTTTTTAAGTCTATTAAAGTAAAAGTCAAATGTGACAAACAGTAATTTTTCTTATAACTGTTTTCGAAAATTTGTCTACTTTAGAGTAAAAAAAAAATTAAAACTATATTTAATTTAATTTATACATTTACATTATAGACTTTTAATTCCCTATTGCATTTTTATAAATCCATCGATGTGTCTGTTATCTCCAATCCTTTGGAGTTATTTTTAAATATTTTCTATCTAAAGTCTCAGACCTATTTTTGTGCTCGTTCCAGTATACACAGAATTCATAGCGCTCATCCCGATAATACAGTCGATATTCGATGTGGCAGCTTGCCTTGCACTTACGTTGCAAGTTAATGAATACGAGTTATTAATGTTCGCTAAACATACAGTAGTGATTAAATCTACTAATCGCACCCGTAGGTATTAAGGAACTCCGCGCGTATCCGTCCGACTACTAATTTTTGGCTTTCTGATTTTTTATCATGCGCAGGTTTTAAGGTGGGCGTAAAGTAAGTAGTCTTAACACCTCTAGTCATCTAACAACGCTTCATTAAACCAAGCCAAGCAAATATGGCCGCGCTTCTAACTACGTATTGGGCGAGGATGGCACACACGCACATAAGTGGCAAGCATCAGTGCGAGAAATGGGTAAACCAACGCATCAAACAATTGAACGAACGCGTTACGTACGCGTTTGAGAGAGGGATCGTCGCTACGCGATATTGCGTCTTGGTTTATCTTCCGACGCGTTGAACGCCGGCCACATACGTTCTCTCCGAGTCTTGCGCGCGCCTATATAAGGACTATGCTAATATTTTACTAGATCCTCAACTCGCCCGGAATAGATGTTTGCCTTGGCGTTCAACGCGTTGACAAATACAGCAGAGGCGTCACGTGTGCTCGATCGCAAAATATTGATTCTCCTACGAACGAAAGTGGTTTTTCCTACGAAAAGAAAAGCTACTTCCGCTAAAAGTCTCGTATCTTTATATGTCGACTTTTACATCAATGACTTGTACATTTGTAGTATAGATGCATATTTTTTAAACTTATATAAAATCTTTGGATTTAAAAAACGTAGAGATGTACGATATATTTTCTTTAGATGGCTAATATAAAAATTTATATAAAATCTTTGGATTTTTAAAACATAGAGATATATGATATATTTTATTTAGATGGCTTGTACAGTAAAAGGTACTTTTTTAAATTACCGTGTCGTTTATCTTGAGCTGTCGCGTCGCAAAGCGATGACGAAACTCGTCGCGAGTCGTGGCGTTCTCTGCTGATGCCAAAGTAGGAAGAAACGAGTAGATGGTTTCGAAATGGAACGCAAAGAGTAAGAAACGATTAATCAGGTCGGCTAGTCCAACGCGCAGCGAGGAAGCCGTCAGCACGGAGGACGAGAGCCCGGTGGAGCCGATCAAGCAGGAGCGAAACCCCATAACCGGCTTCGTATTGAACGGAGTGCAGCCCTTCGTGAAGGAGAAGAGCTATCGACCCATTTCTTTCAATCCCCAACCGCCCCCGCCGATTCCGAGTTAGAAGCCGTACTGCGGATCTTAAAAGAGTACTGTGTAGATTCTTAACAAAATTGTGCAAAGAGAATCCGATGTATGTTACTCATATATTTTCTCTGGTGTACGCGAAATATCGAATCTCTGGAAAGTTTCGTTTTTGCAGACTCTTTTCCTCGATCTACATGTCTGAAACCAAAAAAACGAAGATCGCGATAATTTCGCGTACGCCAGCCCGCTAAATATTAAGCCAACGGTTTTTTACGAAACTTTATAAAACGGAGATTTTATACCGGTTTACAAAGAGACGTGTAGTTTTTTTTTTTTTATATACGATTTAGAGAGAATATTCTCCGAGAGTCTCTGAGTACTCTCTGCGAGCGTACGTAATCGCGATCGCGCTGTTAACAGCGCAACGCGCGGCGATCAATTCTTCGCGCAGCAGTTTTACATACGCGAAACTAATGTCAAGTAATACCTTTTATATGATGTGTAACAAGTAACACAGATCTAACTCCTAACCAAATGTGTTCCGTACGACTCTCGGTACGTCCATCTACTATTTATGTTTGTCGTAAGTACATTAACAGAAGCGGAATCAAAGACCATTAAGCTTATCGCGTTAGCGCGCGCGCGCGCGCGCGGCGCGACGTTTTTATAGCCCGTAGTTATAAAAAGCGCGTCGCGCGGGGGAAGAGTACCAATAATACCGGGTGTATGCATTTACTCAAAACAGGTTTAGGGCAGTATCTTGTAATTATGTACAGGTAACACAACCGCAGGCAACCGACTGCAAATATTTGCTCATGTAATGTAATCAAACAAAAGATAATGTTGTTATTGACTGCGTGGAATTTTTTTTCTTGTATCCTTTATCCCCCCCACCTCCAACCTCCAACAGGCGTCTTCAACGACTTGAAGTTATGAGCTATAATTAAACGATATTAAATGAAGTTGGCAACTTTCACGTTGCCAACTTCACATTGATATTTATATAAAAGAGAATTCAACTCATTTCTTGGGCGGTTTTCAACGTTCGGTGCGCTTTACGTTTTCCTTCGCGGTCTTCGGTCTTCTCTCGCGTTATCTTGAAACTTATCTTGAAATCCAATTTACGCGCGTACATAGGAAGTTAGACACGACAAGCGTGGATTTCAGATCGATCGCGTGCGGCCGCCGTTTGTTCTTTTAGCGTCTACTTGTTCACGTATCTCGACTGGAATCCGACGAAACGATAAGAAATGAATTCGTCAAGTTTACGAAGAAACGTTGCGCCATCGACTTCCTCCTCAGCTAATATGTATGTCTCAATGCATTCGTTTCTTGATAAAATATCTTTATACTCAAGTATCTTTTATACTCAGATAATTTATGGTACTAAAAATGACAGGAATAATATTGTCATTATATATTTCATTAATATGTGCTTCTCTGCAGGCAGGTGAATTTTGAGACAATAATGAACGAAAATAGCGATGAAGAAGAATACGAGATAAATATCCCAACGTCGAAATCAGTCGCGGCGGCACCGAAACAGCAGAGCGATGCCGGCTCTACCGTGCAAGGCGACAATTTTACGGATAGGGATGAGGCTCGTATCTTTAAATTAATTTCGGAACGTTTAAACCAGTAAACGGAAATGGAATAAATTGTTTTTTTTTTTAATTTAAATTGATTGAAATTGCTCAAACCGTGGACTGAAATGAATTGGCCTTTATAGAAATGCATTCATATTTCCACGAATGATGAACGTCAATTCCATTTCAATTCATTTCAGCCACGACTTAAAATTTCAATCTATTTCCGTTTAGTGGGTATCGCAATATCTTTCTTCTCCATTTTCCTCGTTTAATTAATATTCTTTGATTTTTCTCCGTAAAAAAATAAAATATTATATATAATCACGCGTAAAGCGGGCAAAATCTCGTTGAATAACGAATTCAATCGTTAGTATGAAAGGATCACACCTCGCGTTCGTACTTCGCGAATCTCGTAAATAAATGCAAGTCTCGTCCCCTCCCCTTCGTAGATCATTTTGGCGATGATCTGGTCATGCAATCAATTGGGCGCGGCTTACTACAACATCCTGACGTCCGAGCTGTTCGTGATGGACGATACTTACGACGACGGTGTTCACTTTAATATCACGAGGGCCCTTTACAAGCAGTGCCAGCCGCGCTACGTCATCACGATCTCCGGCACGTCCGACGAGTTCCTCACGGCGCTCGAGGCCCTGGTAACGTCGGAAACGTCGAGTGGCCAGAGCGAATCAGGATTGAGCAGCACCACGGCCGGGCCGTCGCGGGTCTCGCTGAGGGTGATGCGAAAGAGGGAACACAGCTTCGACAGATGCTATCACAGGGTACGATGTCTCAAGCTCCGGTCCGAGCCGGCGAACGCCAACAACGTCGAGAGGCTTATCTTCCTGCAGGGCCTGTTGAACTTCAAGTCGATCGTCATGATCCACGCGCTCGGCCTGCTCTTGATCTACATCGACCAGCATTGGAGCAATATCGCGCTGGATCCTTCCGGCAGGCCTGGCTTCGCGTCGCTGACTAGCGTGACGTTGTGAGTCCCTTCAATATCCCTCGCGATAGAATTAATACTTTATACACACGCTAGTAGTAGTGGAGTTTAATCCGCTGGTAATCCCTCGGAAGAACGTTGTATCGCATGAGAGAAAGATCCGAGTCTTCATCGAGCGTTTTCTGAATACGTCTTTGTTAAAATCGCGATCACGCGCTCTCCTCAGAATTTATCGTGACCAATTTTATAATATTTGTCGGATGTCCAGACTTTTTTGCTTCATTTTTACGTACATATACGATCGTTCCTCTGTCGCACGCGGGATTTCGTAGACATGATATCGTCATGATGGACGATGACACATACGAGGCGTTGAATATCGTACATGCCAGGCATCACCCGAGCCTCTTCAAGTGCGGCGACGCGGCGGCGAAGAAGCAAAGTGGCAGCTTATTCATCCTTCTGAATCGTTGCCAATCGCGGCCCGGAGCGCAATTTTTATGGCACGTTATCCTCGTTTTGTTATATAATTATTGGGACGCTATTGTATTTTACTCAAAGACTCCGCGTTTTGTAGGAAAACGTTGCGACATCCCACTCGAAATATCGAGATTCTTAACGAAAGATTCGAGGTCGTCGAATTCTGTTTGAACCCGGACAACCAGAGTATCGTCGAAAATCTGACGTCGTGCTTGAGACACGTTTACCGCCTCACTAACGTTGTTATGGACCGACATTTAGCGCAGCAAGCTAAGGTCTCTGACTGGCGACGATTGCACAAGGTCCATCACGCTTTTCAATTTTTAATCGACCAACTCGATAATTTACTCGCGCGGTACTCATTATACGCGCGCGCGCGAAATGCGCGTCCTATATTCTATTTTTTTGTATTTCACGCCGCAGACGGTTTCCTCTATAATTTACATCGCCGACATATGCGAGAAGCACCGCGAGAAAGTAAGGCTGTTCCACAAAATCGTCGGCAGTATCACGAAGGAGGTGCGTTACGTCAAGTATTTCATCGAGTACATGGTGGACTTGGGCGCGAAGAGATCCGAGAACGATTTCATCATACGCGCGAACGTGGATTCGCACTTGGACAATCGTGAGTTGATCTTGAGCCCCTTCGCGTAACAGTGTGACTTTCGAAAATTGCATTATCGCGTTGCATGGTGTACGTGAGAGTACTCGTGGTACCCTGACAGTCCAAACGTTGCGTGTTACATTTCCATCCGGGAATACCCAGTGCACCACGTGAGAAGCACTTTGCCCGAGACCCTGTCGCGGATGGGACAGAAGGACATGAAGGAGCACCTTCCGGACTCGGTGACGATCTGCAAGATGGTGTACATACCGAATATCGGGTATCTCCTAGCGATAACCGGATGGAATCCGTCGCCGGCCGAAAAGGCGGTTCTGGAACAGAATCTGGAGCTAAAATTCGTCAGCAACAACACAAGTTATTATAAGAGTCCCAGCGCCAGAGGTTTCAATTATTTTTCAATTTCTTGCGATAATTTCAAACCCTATATATATATACGTATCACGATCGTGCATTTGTATAATTTCTTTTCGCGTCCGTTTTGCCGATCGAAAATTGGGATCTTTCAGAATTAGACGAGACCATAGGAGATATATGTCTGAGGATACACAAGCGGGAGAGTGCCGTTATGTTGAAGCTCGTGAAGTACATAAATAAGCACGCCGCATCGATTTTCAGTGCGATTCAATTGTGCGCCGAATTAGACACGTGAGTGAATCAGATACGATTACGAATTCTTCAATGGAGACGTGCGAACTGAGATTAGCGATAGGAAAAAAGTAAGAGATAAGAAGAATTATAATTAATTAGATTAAAAGAAGAGACAAAAGAATTATAATTAAAAGGAATTAATGGGACCAAAATTTAAGAAGCAGCTCTGAACTCCTTTGGAAGATTTATTTTTGAGATAGGCTGACACTCCTTTGAGACACTCCTCGCGTCGTGCCGATCGGTTGCAGATTGCTGGCGTTTCACGTGGTCGCGCGAGAGCACAATTACGTGAAACCGAACATGGTGGACCGGCAGGTCATCGCGGTGGAGCAGGGTCGCCATCCCTTGCAGGAGTTCCTGACGACGTTCGTTCCGAATGACACCTATTCCGGGGACGGCAAGAGCCTCGTGAAAATCCTGACCGGCCCGAACGCCTCCGGCAAGAGCACTTATCTCAAGCAGGTCGCGCTGATCGTGTTCATGGCTCACATCGGCTGCTTCGTGCCGGCCAAATCGGCCACCATCGGAATAGTGACTCACATCCTGACGCAGATCACGTCCGTGGACAGCATCGCTCTAAATACGAGCATGTTTCTGCAGGATATGCGGCAGGTAAATAAACAACGTTCCCCCCCCTCGAGACACGTGGAGACGCCTCTCGGAGTCGTAAACCCTCGCGAAGGAGCAGATCTTGCGCGATATAAATTAATTAATTGCTGAATTAACGAGCCTCCTCGGCGGAGACTTAATTATTTCTCCGTCGGTCTCTTAGATAAACTCCGCTCTTTACGCGTCCACGCCAAACTCGATCGTTATTCTGGACGAATTCGGAAACGGAACGTCCGAGGTGAGTGGCTTGTCACTGCTCGCGGCCGTGTTGAATAATTTCATCGAGCGAGGGACCGATTGTCCGCACATTTTCGTGGCCACGCATATGCATCGGGTAATGAACATGTTGCCGCAAAGCCCGATAATCGAGGAGCAGGTAAAACGCGTTCGGATCGGACATTTGCAGTATATAGCACTCGCTCCTCAGGTAGAACATAGAAACAAATAATATAATAACGATGTCAATTCTTACATTATTTGTGACTTATAAGTGATAAGTAAAGTCATAATGACATCTCCTTATATAATATCACTTCACTCCTTATATAATATGACTTCATAATGTCATTATGACTTTTGTGTTCTACCCGGAATCGCGACGCCGAAGTAATTTTGTTTAAATTGCCGTTGTTCTCCTATGTGATCTTTTCCCTATTTTATTATTTATTACACAGACTTTCGAGTTTGTTACAAACGAGAACGGCTCCGTGGCGTATCTTTATAGTTTAACTCGTGGACAAGTGGCTCGCAGCTTCGCACACGCGGCTGCACGAAGCGCGGGTTTGGACGAAAAGATTGTCAAACGAGCATTGGAGGTGCGATTGGTAAATTTTGTCTCGCGTATATTTAAAACTTTGCTTGCAAAAAAGTCACATGAACAAATGTGAAATAAAAATTTAGAATAACTTTACATTGTTTTATATTTACATATTTAAATAGGCCTTTAAATTGGGACCATAAAAATTCTAAAAATGAAAGAATTATTTTGCAGGTATACGAAAAATTTAAAGCTGGCGAATTACCTTCACGATTACCGGAAGCCAAAGGCCAAGACATGTGAGGATATCACGATCTTTGATAAAAGTGATCATATAGTTACGTAATACAAAAATCAATTCGTCACGATTAATAATATTGTGTGATTTGTAATTGCAGAACGATATACATCATCGAACAATTATTAAAGTCGGAAAATTTCAATCTGGAAGAATTGAAGGCGTTGGTCCGTCAAGCTACGGAATCGCCTGCTGTAAAGATGATAATCAAGAAAAATTGAAACCGAAGAAAAGAGAAGATCGATATACATGTATAATTCGTATCAGTCAAGTTCGTTGAGTCAAATCACGGAGTCATAAGCTATTGAAAAAATAAGAAGAAACAAGATGTTTCACAAAACTTTAATTTATTATATTAATATTTAATTATAAAAAAAAATCACAATGTTACATCATATAATTTAAATTTTAAGTGATCGCATATTTCAAAATATTAAATATCGCAATATATTTAATTCAATTATTTAATTAAATAATCAATATTTAATTAATTTATTAAAAGAATTTAAATAAAGCGACTTTAAATTCTAATCAACTTAATCAGCGATTAATTCAATTTCAATCAGTATAAAATTAAAACAAATTTTCTAATAATTCAGTCTCTAATTCAATGTTTTTTCTGTATGTTAAACAATAAAAAATAATTTTATCTATGTTAAGAATTGTATATTAGCTTTAATAAATTAAAATAATAAGAATTTAGTTGAAGCCTTTCTTCTATATGTATACGTCCTGCTATATACATATGCATATATGTATGTATAACTCTCAAATATGTATTTTCAATCTTATCCTTTGTAAACCAAAAGTATCAAGTTACAATTACAAAATTGACATATCGTGTTGAGCTAAAGCGTAAAATAATAAAATATACATAGGATTCAAAAATATATATATCTAGGTTTTATTTTTTAATATTAATGAGAAAATAATGTAAGAGGGATCTGTAATCGATACAAAGGGCACAGCAGAGTTTTACCGAATGCAGATCGCGTAGCGTCTTTTCCCGGCGCGGCACAGATGTCAGGACCAGCCACCTTCGCGGCGATCGGCCCGGGGACCCCGCGCCGACAGATGGCGGGGCGATCGGCGCGCCGCCGGCCGGGAGCTGGCGCTCGCAGTCCTTCCGTTGTCAATAACGGACACTGGCGGTGTATCCCGGCACGAAAGCGAACGGAACGGCCGTCCCGTCGGACGCGCGTTAGAAAGATACCGAGGAGAAACGTCCGAGCCGCGGGTGCAAATTCGGCTGGTACGCGAACGCGCGGATCGCGTGTGTGAGTGTGTGTGCGTGCGGTGTGTGCGCGCGCGCGTGTGCTCGCTCGTTCGCGCGCTGCCTGACCTCGTCGGCGACGACGGCAACGGCGAGGACGAGGCCCGAGGACGGCGGCGCGGCGCGAAACGTTCGTGGCCGGGAGACGAGCGAGAACCGCGGCCCGACACGCACGGGCGTGTGCCTTGGCGCCGAGAGAGGAGAGCGCGCGCGATTCCCGGATACGCGAAGAGGACTCGCGACGACGAGGGACGGGCGACGGTGGAGGAGGACGCGTCACCGTCGAGGACCCCGCGGGAAGAGGAAGGAAGGGGACCTGGGAGGCCCCGACCGGTCGCCGCGCGAGTTTGAATGCGAACGCTTCTGTAACTGTCAACCGTCGTGGTCGCGCGAGTCGATCGCCGTCTCTCGCTCCCTCCCTCTCGTCTCGCTCTCTCTCTTTCTCTCTTTTCCTCGCACACACGCGCCCTCGAGTCGATTAAGTCCCGTGGCCGCGTGCGGGGCCCCGTTGGTCGTGGTTAGTTAGCGCAAAGAGAGGAAGCCGGAGCGCGTTTTATGGTGCCGTACGAGGTGCGCGAGACCGACTAAATGACCATGGATCACGGTACGTGCAACATCGACGTCGGCTGCAGCATAAACATCCAGAGGACCGACGGTGAGTAGTGCGAAGGAAATACCAACCCAGTATATGTGTCGTTTAAGTCGTGTCGCACACACGCGAGCGCGCGCCGCACCGTTTCTCCCTGACGATCGTCCGTCGCTGTGCGGTTCTCGCTTCCCCCTCGCTCGATCTCGCGCCGATTCCTTTATTTCATCGCGAATTTCCGTCCATCCTCCCACTCGCCTTTCATCGGGCCTCTCCTTATCCTAACCGTCTCCCCTCGTTCGCGCCTCTTTCGTACTTATCGAGAGAGTCTTCTACTCGCCGAATGCGAATCTTCAAGAGCTCCTCCGTTGCTTCCCCTGCGAAGGATCCGTTCGTCACCTAGTCCAGTTTCTTTCACTTCCGCTCATTTTCTTCTCACAGTTTACTCTTTCTCTCTTTCTTCCGCTTCATGCCGCGCCTTATTCACTCCTTTATTTATCTCTGACATTTCTCTTTATTCCTTATCTCCCCATTGTCTCTTATATCCGCTCTTCTCCCTCTCTCTTTCTCTCTCTTTTCTATCGTTTCACCTGGTCTAGCTCGTGCATCTCCGTGTTTTTCCGCGTCCGCTTGTCACGTGGCCGGGCCGCGTCACGCCGCGCCGCGGGCCCGATCGACGCGTGACGATCACGCGTGGGCCTGGACCGATCCTTCGGAACGGCCGACCGGCCGGTCGGCCTCCGGTGCCCGAACTCCTGTTCCCATATACGGGAAATTTCGTGCACGACCTTTCTTCCGCGCGTGCCGAGTTCTCCCCTTCGCGCCATATTTGTTTTCTTTTTTTTTTCTTGCCAGGATCTCGCTGCCCTCCCTCGTCTTTCCCTCGCAGTACTTTTTGCAGCGCCCGTTCTTCGCGGCTTGCCGCAAATCGCTGTAAATAATTGAGAGCAACAATGTTCGCAATATACATGTATCTGATTGTTCAATGACTCTAAAAGAAGGAGCAGATAGTTTCTATTCGATTTCTTGATCAAAAAATGTTGAGATAAAAAAGAAAGATTCTTGAAGAAATTTCAAGGAGTTTCTATCGGGGATTCAATATCGGGATGAGAAAATAGTTATTCTTAAATTATTAGAATTAAATGGCTCTTCTCGCGACCTAAATCGAGACTTGCAATCGAGGTTAACAAAGATCGATTCATTTTTAACCGAAAATAATTGTTTTTAAATATAACATAATTAATATAAAAATATATTATTTTTATATTTGGTATATTAAATATTTATTGTACGGATGCTTTAAATTGATGGGAAGGAAAAGTGACGGTTTTTACATTATTTAAGATATAAAAAGATGTATTGTCGGAATGCGCATTGAATTACCGGCGCAATGACTGTGTGTGCGGGAACGACTTTAATTTCTGAGAAATGCAGTTGACACGCGTGAGTTTAAGTACCAGGGGTGACGTATTATCGGGCGCCTTCTTCACCGGAAATTGCTTCCGAGGATATTCTATCGGCGTGCCATCCGAATTCCTGCGAGCGGGCGTAATAACGGATGTTTCAAAGCCGAGTCGATCGAGACGCGAGAGACGGTACTTCCTTTCACCGCCGCGCGTGTTGTTCCCGACATGTAGAACGAGACCGAAAATCTCGCGAGCTTCCAGCACGGAGGCGGAGTTGCGTTCTCGTTAACGTAATCGAAGGAGCGGAAGTCACGAAACGCGCTCTGCTTTAAAGTAAAGTCTCTAAGTTAGCCTAACTCCTTGCCAACATGCGAAATAACGACAAGAATTGTGGCGAAAACGAGCGAGATTTTTTTTGCGAGGTAAAATTAAACGAGATTTCTTACAGCTAATTAATTTGTTTGACTATCGGCAAAGTGTCGCCGCAAAATTATTAAGGAATTCTCGCCAATGTGGACGATTTTTTTTTGCTTAATATTTCAAGGATCAAATAATCGACTATTTTCAACGTTTGAATTAAGAACGGCGTAAATTTGAAGTTGCTTTGAGGTTTTAATAATTTTAAAATTATTGGAAGTGTTATGGGGGAAGAAAGTGAATTGTTACGAGACTGTATTTGCTCTCCTTTCCTCCTCGATGCTTGAAGGGTTAATCGAAGATGAAATCTTACATTCGTGATCGCGAACTTCCGGCATGAGCCCGGCGTTCTCGTTCGTATAAAAGTGGAAATATGTATTAGATCCAAAATTGACGTCAGTGATATGTCTATGCTCTTTATTGATCTTGCGATTGTTTATATATGTGCGACGCCCGATATCGATTATTCGGCATACTTATGCTGGCACATGTCGACGGAATATAATCATGCAAATTGCTAACTACGATTTCTACGCGGGTATACCCCTTTAAACGCTGTATATGTATGTATTCGCACATGAAGTGCACGTCACTGATTTTAATTCTGATTTATTTTTTAGTTATTTATTTTTCAGTAGATTAGTAATATACACTGTAATAGAATGAACTAAATTCAACTTGGCGGTTAGGAGTTAACCGAGAAATATTTTTAATGCATTCTTTAAGCGTCGCCTACAAACTTAAGATTTCAGAAAATTGATCAATCATAGTTGATTATTCATTTCACATGAGAAGAGCAATTGATTGTGATTGATCAATTTTTTAAAATTTTAAGTCTTAAATTGTAGACGTCGCTTTACTTGTCAAGATAATTTCAAGAACCGAGTCGAAATTAATCGAAAAACTGCGAAAGTAAAAATAAAGATCGTCAACTACGATCATTGGAAAGACACATATACGGTTGTCATAAATCTAGTCCGATAAAATTGCTATCCCGTCTGTCCCTGTTTTCGTAAATTCTTGAAGATATCCCGAGTCTGTATATAAGTCCTCAAAAGTTCTCGGTTGGGGAAGCTCATTCGTTCTCGGAGGCAGTTATGGAAAGAGATAGGAGCGCGCGGGGTGGATATATCTTTCGATATTTAATTCAGCGTACGGGCACGACCGCGCCGGGTACCATCAACTATAGACGAAGCCGGGACATGAAGTTTTCGCTCGGTGCAGCAGTCCGCACTTCGGATGCACACTCGACGGCTGCTCACCGTTACGTTCGTTCGTTCGTTCGTTCGTTCGTTCGTGAGGCGGCACGTTGCGGCAGGAGCGAGCGAGCGAGCGAGCGAACGAGCGAGCGAGCGAGTGGCGTTAGGGGAGACTGGCATAATTGATCCGGCGGAACACACGACCGCCAGACACAATACTCACTTTTTGAGTCATGCGAAAATATTCCGCGTAAATGGACTAAGGCAGCGGCCGCTCGCCGCGCCGTGTCGAGCTCCAGAATGCTTATCAGGGCATTCATAATTCGCGAGAGATTCTTAAACTCGGCCGTGTGCAATGCAAGCCTGTATATATATATATATATATATTTCCCCAGAGTCGAAAATATATTTTTTCTTCGTACGTGTGGAAATACATTTTGAAATTCTTTTTTATTTATATAAGAGTAAGAGAAAATTAT